TGTGCGCGGTCGGATCGCCGCGTGCACCGTGCGTCATTTGCATGTGGGAGCGGGTTTTTCTGGGATCTGGATGCGGTTGAATAACGGTCTGCACGGCGGCTCTGCACAACCAGGAAGTGTCTGGATGTTGTCTTTCCTACGTCTTTGCCACGCTGTCTGAGTAGGAAGGACATGTGGGTTTATTTTTACCGACTCGAACCTGCGCATATAACCGGGTATTTGTTTTTATTTAAATGTTTTTCTCATTTTTTGGGGCGGGGACGGTGGTTTACGTTGATAACCTGCCGCGGAACTCCCAAAATTCGGGTCCGTAATTCCCAAAAAGTAGGGACGGTTGTGTTTCGGGGTTGTTATTTGTGTGGTTCTCCGGGTTTTGGGGGGTCCCGGGGGGATGCGGGTCCCCGCTGTTTCCGTTATCTGGCCGTGCAGCCAGACCTGGAAGCGTGGGACGGCCTGGCTGCTCAAGTTTTTTTTTTTTTTTTTTAGCCCCGCTCCGATGGCGGAAGCATTGTTTATGCGGAGGGGCGGAGCTTTGCTCTGACAGACAGAAGCCGCCGACCAATGGCGCGAGCTTCGAATTGAACGGAAACCTGTAGTCCAATCAGGCTCCGGCGGGGGCGGGGTCTCGATTTGAGTGTGAGCCAATAGGCGGCGAGGCGGGTGCTGAGTGACAAGGGGATTTGTGAGCTTCCTCGAAGAGAACTGGAGGGAAAGGATGAAGAGTGTAAACACGGAAGTTATCACGGGCGGGACTACTTTTTTCGCCCAACTTGGTCTGAATAGTGTGCCCTATATCTTCACCCCACCGTTAAAATAATTATAAAACAATTATTGAAAGTGTCCTGTTGGGAAATTGATTGATAGGTGAAATTTGACTGGTTGGAAATATATTTTTCTGCAGCTGTTCTTCTCTTCTCACTAAGAGTTTAATGCCTTCTGGTGATCCTATTTCAGCCGAACTGCCTCATTTCAAGGACGGCTCAGCGGGCTGCGAGAGGCCTGATGGCCACCGCCATGTCCTTTTTGTTTGAGGGAGGCTCTGAATGAGTGGGGCGGACTAAAGATAGCCCCTTTCTCTGCCCCCCGTGCGGCCGGTCAGCTCAGTGAGATAGCCAAACATGGACAGGGCAGGCTGTTGTGCCAGCTCATGTTTCCCACCCGTGATTGACAACAACAGCAGGTGCTTTGGTTTCCTTCCCAGCGTCCCCCAGGAGCCTTCAGCTCCCTCACAACAAGCTGAGCCCAGTCTTAAATAAAGTAGGTTTCCCTTTTAAACAAAGATGTAAATGTTTCTAATAGAGGGTCTCCTGGATATGATTTATTCACTTTGCTGAATTTGGGTTTGAGCTGCTTGTAAAGTGATAATGTTTTGTTTGGTCTCACATGAACTATCATTATGATGCGTATTGATGTTCTCAGGCAAACCTGCTCTTTTTGGTTTTAAACAAAAGCCAAATTACAGGATTGATGCTAAAAAAAAAGTCACCAGTGGGTTAAAGCAGTGTTCATCCACTAGGGGGCAGCAGATAGCCGCACCGACAGTGTTTACCTGGTCAAAAAGGTGGCTGAAGGATTCAGAAAACCTTCATTTTTATTAAGTAAATCAGAAAAACATGTGTTTTTTTAAAACTGGTTTTTAGTTGAGTGTCCCCCCCCCTAACGGCGTTTTTCCCCCCACAGTGGAGGCTTCTGTCCACGGCTCCAGCATCCACTGCTCGGACAAAACCATCGAGGCGGCCGAGGCGCTGCTGCGCATGGACTCCCCGTCCAGCCTCCGGGAGGACCGCAGCCCAGGTAGGTCACACCTGGACGAGCACCGCTCTGTGTAAAGGGGAATTAGCTGCGTTTTCAGGAGCCTTTCAGCGTTTAGAACACTGGTTCTGAGCCTTTTCTGAGCTCCGAACCCCCCAGTTCAGCATTCACTGAACTGTTTTTAGTGATACATAAATTATGATTTTTTTCAGAATTCAAGATATAGACATAAGTTTATGCTTTTTTACTGGTTACAAAATGAGCCGTACATGAACATAACCAAGAATAAAACCAACTCAGAGCATCAACTTACAACATATTACTTTATTCTGGCCCCAAAAAATATTTCGGCCCAATTCAAGAATTTCAGCCCGGAAATTTATTTTTTTTACTATTTTACTAATTAAGAATAAATGTGGATTTTTTAAAAACTATTTAAAATTTGAATAACTTAATTTTTTTAATTTACTTAGTTTTTTATATCATGCAGTCTAAAAATCAACAGATAGACTGCTATCTTATGATTATATCTTATGCTATAGACTGCTTTCTTAAAATCATGCAGACAGGACGCTGCCTTTTGTCCTCTTTCCTGATGGACTGAATCCGTGTTGTACATATTCGTGCGACCACTTTCTTTTTGTTGCTCCACATATTTAGTATTTAGTAGTAAAATATTGAAAAAGCTGCTGTTTCCCGTCTCCCTCCAGACGCCTTCGTCACGCACTGCGAGGCCACGCCGGACTTCCTGCACGCCGCCATGCGGCCGGACATGATCACGGACACGGAGGTGGAGATCTCCACCGAGGAGTGCTGCGAGGAGGAGGACGAGATGCTGCTGGACGAGCCGGAGCCGGACAGCGAGCCGGTCAGGAAGAGGCGAGGTGAGCCCTGCCGCCTTTCTGCCCCCCCCGCTCCACTTCCTGTTCAGAAAGGCCCCCTGAGTCCGTGCACACATGCCCGACGTGCACGGAGCAGCTCCCGAGGTCATGGGGGACTTGTAGACTCTTTTCTTCTCATGAGGGATGTCCCATCCAGCTTTTTTCCCGATCCGATCCCGGCCTATCAGAGCATGTGTTAAAGTCTAAAGTTATTTATCTACTTACTTAGTTGTCAGACTCATGTTGAACAGGGATTTACTCTGATAACAACTTAATGGTTAGGACACAGACCTGTGGGTTACAGATGCTAATGCTAATGCTCGTGTGGGATCAGACTTAAAAAAAAAACTGGATCTGGAGTCTGGATCTGCATTTTTTGGAAAGCTGAGACATTTGAGTTGTAATTCCAATCAGCCGGTAATATCTGAACTCTGATTACAGACACATCTCAAAACATAAAGACTGAATTTTTCCTCCCATCCGAGGACAAACTGTGTAAATATATCGAGTGGATTTTCCCTCCATCTTATGGTATTTATTTTAGTGAGTCACTGGAGAACAGACACAGATAATTTTAAACATTTCTTATCAACTTTAGATGGAAACGGCTCTGAAACCTTTTGGGAAAAGCCACAAACCCAAAGCAGAGTCCTCTGTGTGCAGCAGCGCCACCTGGTGGCCGGTTTGCTGAGCGGAAAAACAACCGTTCTGTTCTGTTCTGTTTTGCAGCCGGACGGAAACCTAAAACTCCCCAGTCGGCTGTGTCCAACGGCTCCCCGGATCTCAGCATCAAGAAGAAGCCCAGAGAAGGAAAAGGTACCCGGCAGCCCAAACAATCTCAGTTTTATTCATATAGCCCCAAAACAGAAGCAGGTATCTCCCAGCTAACCAAACAGAGCAGCTCAGACTCTGAGTTATTTACAGAAGAACAACAGTTCCCACCAACAGCAGCACTAGGAGACCCAGGGAGGGAAAAACTGCCTTTAGGGGGAAGAAACCTAGAGCAGAACCAGAGAGAGAGGGAGAACAAGAGAGAGAGAGAACAAGAGAGAGAGAGAACAAGAGAGAGAGAGGGGGCAATAGAGATAGGGAGAGAACAAGAGAGAGGTGGAAAGAGAGAGAGAGAACAAGAGAGAGAGGTGGAAAGAGAGAGAGATAGAGAGAACAAAAGGAGAGAGATA